GTTAAAACCTTTTTTTGGTCCCTGAATTATTGTACGGACCCCTGATTTGGTCCCTGAACTAAAAAAATTCCTGATTTGATCCCTACTGTTTACCATTTTAACCCCGATTTGGTCCTTCCGTTAAATATCCGCTTACGTGTCTTGTTACTTTACGGAGAAAAGGATGACATGTTAAATATTAGTACATGTGGAAGACAATAAGACCAAAAAAAGTGATGACATGGAAAAAATAATAATATAAAAAATATTATAAAAAATAAAACTTAAAATTTTTTTTTTTCTTTTTCCTTCTCTTCCCTTTTCTCTTTCCCCTTCCCCTTCCCCTTCTCTTTCCCCTTCGAACCCAGGCGAGGCCTGGGTTCGACGGAACCCAGGCGTGGCCTGGGTTGGACAGAACCCAGGCGAGGCCTGGGTTCGACGCAACCCAGGCGTGGCCTGGGTTCGACGCAACCCAGGCGTGGCCTGGGTTCCACTGAACCCAGGCGTGGCCTGGGTTCCACTGAACCCATGCCTGGGTTCGATGCCCAGCATGCTTGGGTTCCACCGAACCCAGCATGCCTGGGTTCGATGAAACCCAGGCGCTGGGTTCCTTAAGACCCAGCCCTCGGTTCCAAAAAAAAGAGGAAATTTCTGCTTCTTTGTTTGGGTTTTGTTGTTTGATGATGTGAGAAATTGATTGATGAAGATGAAGAAGGCAAGGCAGCCGTTGGGTTTTTGCAGGTGGATGAAGATGAGGAAGGCATAGGTCGAACCCAGCAAGCAATCGAACCTAGCATCGAACCCAGCAGCCCCTGGGTTCCTGCAGGTGCTGGGTTCGATTTCGAACCCAGCAGGCTCGCAAGGAACCCAAGCGTGCTGGGTTCGCAAGGACGCTTGCTTGGGTTCGTAAGGACGCTTGCTAGCACGCTTGGGTTTGGTTCCTTGCGAACCCAAGTGCAAAAAATTAAAAAAAGTTTTTGTTTTTTGGAATTTGTTGTTTGATTGTGATGAAAAATTGATTGATGAAGATGAAGAAGGCAAGGCAAGGCAGTTGCTGGGTTACTGTGCAGGTGCTGGGTTCGATTTTTCAATTTGAACCTACCAGCCGCTAGGTTTTTGCAGGTGCTGGGTTCGAATTGAACCCAGCAGGCGGTGGGTTTCATTTCAAACCCAGCGGGTGCTAGGTTTGAGCAGCTGCTGGGTTCCTACAAGTGAGGCTCTGGGTTTCGTTTCGAACCGAGCAGCCATTGGGTCAAGTATCTATTGAGTTTAATCTGTTGATTTGTTGTGTTATTCTCGAATTTAATATTAAGAGTTAGGGTTTGCAGAAGGTTAAAGGAAAGGGAGAGGAAGAAGAAAGGGAAAAAGGAAAACAAACGAAGAAAAAAAAAAAGGAATAAGAAATTTTTTAAGAATCGTTTGTTGCCATCTTTTTTTTTGGTTACTCCGTACATCCTAGGTGTCAAAATGCTTGTACATGTCATCGTTTTCCCGTCAAGGGACACGTAGGTTGATATTTGACAGAAGAACCAAATCGGGGTAAAAATGGTAAACAGTAGGGATCAAATCAAGAATTTTTTTAGTTCAGGGACCAAATCAGGGGTCCGTATAATAGTTCAGGGACCAAAAAGGGGTTTTAACCTAAAATAAATGTTAAAACCTACAAGGTAAAGAGCAATAAAGAGCTAAAGGCATTTGTGGAAGCCCCAGCTGCAGCATCTCAGGAACGCTGCATTGGTCCCCTCCGTGGTAGGGTTCAAGACTTGCCGCTTTCCTTAATCCGACGATGATTACCCAACCTTAATCCAAGGAGAAGCTTCGCGGAAGGTGGCTCAAGGGCATACTCGCCAAAGGCTAGCGAGAGGAGGGGGATTTTGGGCAGATCTGGGTTTTGAAAAAGGGACGAGATCAGAGAGATAAAAAACTGGAGATCTGGGTTTGGGAGAGAGAAGAGGAACCAAAAAATCGAGGGAAACAGATCTGGGGGTTTCTCCGCGGCTTCCTTGGTTTCCGATTTTCTTTCACTCTTTTTTTGAGATCTTCAGGGAACCCCGATTCCACCTCCGAGCATACCTCGCCGCTGCAAACGCCAAAGGGAGGGGATCAGAACAGCTGCACTACCCCTTTGGCCGGCTCCAGCTAGAGAGAACAAGGTTGGCTGCGTATCTGTGGAGCTTGCTGGAAGTGGAAAAGCAGAGAAGAACGGAAACTCAAAAACTGCAGATCGTGCTTCTTCTTGCTTTAGGTAACTTCTAGGACAGGGGTTTTGGAGAGGCAGTGAGGGAGATGATCGGAGCCTAATCTCGTCGGTGGGATCCGTGCTATCTGTAATTGCACCAAACCAGGAGTCCTTCAGCCCGTGCCTGTACTCCGGGATGACCTGCAAAGCCCCGAGGTGGAACTCGGGGTAAACACTCCGATGCTTAAGTCAGCAATAATTAGGGTTACCTTTAGGTCGAAGACACTCCACATGGCATGCCAAGCAAGATAATCGAAGCCTGACGTGTCCATCCAGACGATTATTTCGGGACCGAGAATTTGAGAGGTATTCAGATGCACAGGTGTCCACCATACTTGCTGTGCCACTCATTATAAGGAATCGGGTGCAGGCATGCTCATTGTTACTGTCATGTAGCTATTTGAGCGGGAAGCTTTGGGTCTATCCTTCACTTCGGTCATAAAGGAATTACTGTAGCAGTCCGAGACTTGGCACCTCGGACCTGTCCTTATACTATTCCCCCCGAAGTCATTCACTTGTGAATGATGTTGTTGGGGAATAATGAGGGGAGTACATAAACAAAGAGAATTACAGATAAATCATAGAAGTAAAAGGAAGAAATAAAATTTGTAACTCAAATGCATACATAGCCGTGTGCGATAAGAAGAGAGTGTGACCAGAACGATCGTGGCCGTAGACATGGTAAAAATAATGACCGGAGTCAATGTGGTCGTAGCCATAGTAAGGGATGATGACCGAAGTCATGGTGGCCGGAGCCATGATAAAAAATGATGACTAGAGTCATAATGGCCGGAGCCGTGATAAAGAATGATGACCGCAGTCATAATGGCCGGAGCCGAATTAAAGCATATGTCTCTATGGCCGGAGTCGGAGTGAAACATGTTGCACTAAGTCACTGTGGCCATAACCAAAGCGAAACACTTTGCAGGTTAAAAAGTGCAATATAAAAATAAACAGAAGTGTTGAGTTAGGCTTAGGTGTAAAGATGGGGGTCATAATGGCTGGAGTCGTAATAATAAAATATAATGACTGAGGTCGATGTGAAACATGTAATGCAAGATCGCTGTGGCCGGAGCCGAGGTGAAACACTTGCAAAAATTGAAAATGTGCAAAAGTGAACGAAGGTGTTGAAATGGGCATAAGTGGGCCCGTCTGAAAAATCTGACAGTTGTCCTTGGGATGACGTGTGCAATAAATGTAGCCGTAAAAAGATAACTGCAACAGGTAAACGGGCAAATTTTAAAAAACAAACTGTCGAATTCAAAACGGTGCCATTTGGGGTTGGCCGTTGAATTCCAAACGGTGTTAATAGGAACCGTTAGATTAAACAAATCTTAGCCGTTGAGATCTAATTTTGCCCAAAAGTATAGATAGACATTTTTCCTACAGAAAGAGGTTTACTTGCATTTCTTTTCCTACAAAATTTCTGCGAAAAGCTTTACTGTGTGTTTCGTGCGTGTGAACTGCGGCATCAACTGGGGATCTCTACATCAAGTCTTTCGAAACCGAAATCAGGTAATGTATATGAACCTCTGATTTTGAGTTAATTGAAGTGTCTTTCTTCTTTCTCCCTTTCTGTGATTGATTTAGAGTCCGTTGAAGGAAGTTAGGGCTAGAGGTGAGGAGGATTTTGAATGTGCAACAAAAGGGGATTTTTTTTTTTTTTTTAAGGGGATCCTGACTTATTCCTCCCCCCTACTTCGTGCAGAGTTTGAGAAAATGTCGTCAGAAAGAACACAAAGTGTAGTAGGGAATGAGGCGATGCCCTTGGACTATGGGAGCATGGACTCAGAGAGTAGTCCATCTCCATCTAGTTCGGAGAAAACGGTGGAGGGGGTGAGGGGAGATGAGGTGGTGGAAGTTGGGAGGAATGAGGTGGTAGGGGTTGGGGTAGATAGCATACCCATTACCGTGGTAGAAGTAGAGGGTAGAGGAGAGAAAGATTATGATGTGAATGCGGAGATAGTAGAGGAGGTGAAGCAGTATAGGTCTGAACTAAGGACCAGGGATAGCCTGGGTCACTTAGTGGAAAATTACGAGATTTCTTCTCGAGTGTTAGTTAGGCCAACTGGGGTAGAGGTGTTCTGCTCCTCGGGACCATTGGATGCCCATATATTCCCACTATCTGATAGCGGGATTGAGGTTTCCAATTCCTGAGTTGCTGGTAGGATTATTATTAGATTATAAGATAGAGTTGACACAATTAGTCCCCAATGCTATGAGGGTAATAATAGGATTTTTAGTCTATTGCCGAGCTTAGGGGATTAGTGTGCCAACCGTAAATATGTTTAAGTATTTTTTGTTTTAAAGGGGGGTAGTAGGAGGGATAAGGGGTGGTATTATTTCACCCCTAGGATAGCCAAGAGGGAGAGTAGGTCCTTGTTCACTGCTAGTCCTTCATCCATTAAAGGATGGAAGGAAAAATTCTTTTTTGTAGATGATACGGAGTGGGAGAGGGGAGAGGCCGAGGTGAGGGAGTTAGCATCTTGGAAGGCCAAAAAAGCCAACCAGAATAAATTTACTTTAAACGAGGATGAGGAGGAAGAGGTGAGGAAGTTGGTGAGGAAGGGAGGGGAGTTACTAAACATAATGGACCTCACCAGCGCACAATGCATAGAAGCTGCTGAGCTCTATGGGCCAAGCGCTTTGAGTGAAGGTTGGTTTAACTCTGCATTGTAATACTGAATTTAGAGTATAGAACTGTGATTAATATTGTGTTTTCTTTCCTTGCAGCTGAAATGGATCAATTCTTGAACACTACTGGAGGAGCGGCCATCCCCAAGAAGCCAAGGAAGAAGTCAAAGACTTCAACCAAGCAAGTGGATGAGGGGAGGGCTAGGAAGGAGGTAGTGGTCACGGCTTCAGCTGAGATGGAGGAGGAGGTGCCACAGTTGAAGAGGAAGGGTTGGGAGGAGAGGAGGGCACTGCAGAAGAAGCAGAAGGTGGTGGAAGAGGAGACCGAGAATGAGGTCCCTCTGCTCGTACCTCAGCCTTCTCTTGTTGAGCTGGACCCTGAGCTCAGACAGTTGGAGGAGGGGGCTGAGGTATGAGCAGCCTGTTCGAAGCGAAGAACATAACGGGGGCTAGGTGGTTCATCAACAACACCTTCCCCGAAGTGGACAGACGCAACGCGCGGGAGGAAGCTCTAAGGTATGATGGAGCGTCCGTGGTGAAGCACGTTCTAGAGGTATGTTAAAGTATTGATGTTTGTTTAGTTAATCTATTTCGTCTTCTCTTCTTTCTCTCCTAACCTCGGCTTTGATCTGCAGAGCGCGAGCTGGGTGAATGGTCTAGCCTAGGAATTCAGGGAGAGCCTGAAGGAGCACTCACTCTTGTAGAGGCAGTGTGACTAGCTGCAGAAGGAGAAGGAGGAGCTGGGAAAGAAAAATAAAGAACTGCAAGAGTCGTTGGATGAGGTGGTTCCAACTGTGAAGCAGTTGGAGCAGGAGAGGTCTTCCCTGAGCACCAAGCTCGTCTTTGAAGAGAGTAAACGAAGGATCTCAGAAAGCGAGCGTGAGGCTCAGGCGCAAGAACTAAAGATGACGAAGTAGGCTTTCTTGGAGCTGAAGGAGAATGTGCAGACTTTGGTGCATAATGGAATGAAGGAGCACATCAGCAACTTCATCAGCTCTAGCTCGTTTGACAACATCGTCAACTTATATCGACTGCCCACTGCCATCATTGCATTCACGGACTGCAGGAAGAAGGTGAAGACAGAATATCCCTAAATGGATATTACGAAGATCACCTTCAGAGAGCAAGAAGGAGGAGTGGAGGAAGACGGTGAGAGCATGTCAGCAGACTTCCGTCCTCAGATCAAATTGAGGTGGGAGCATGATGCAAATGGACGTGCTGTTTTCCCTCCACATTTCGACTTCGAGTTTGTTGCAGTGGAGGAAGAAGGGGCAAAGGTGGAGGAAGACGAGATGGAGGCAGGAGTGGAAGGAGTTGAAGTGGATGAGAGCCAACCAGTTCCAAAAGTGGAAATTCATCCAGTTCCCTCCGACAATGAGCAGCCTCCTCTGCCAGACGAGCAGCAGCCAACACAGCCACCTCCTCCAGCTGAGCAGGAGCCAGTGGAGCCACCTCTCCCAACAGAGAAATAATTTTATTTTTTAATTTTTTGTAAAAACATTTAGACAGTTTGTAACACTGTTATTTTGTTAAATAAAATTATATATTTGTTTATGTTTGGTTTATATATTTTTTTATTTTTTATTAATAGAAGAACTGAGAGTACTTGAGACGTGATTTGAAAGAAGGCTAACCACTTCAGAAATAAACAAAAGGGAAGGAAATCACTTCAGACGAATTACAAAGAAGTAAATCACTTCAGATAAATTGAGAACAAGGACATTGTTTGCAAATGAATTAAAAGGAAATAAAGCACTTCATAAATGAAATGACATTTATTAATTAGAGGTGAAGTTTCAAGGAATGAAAGAACTAATTGACCTTGGGTACATAGAATAAGAAGTAAAATGAATCTCAACAAACACGAAGTGAGAAGCGTAAAGAACAGTAAGACATAGATCACTTGAAAGAATTTTATTAGGGGTAAAATTTCTTCAAGTTATTGACATTCCAGACTCGAGGAACTCTCTTTCCTTCAGCGTCTTGGAAGACATAAGCACCAGGATATGGCACCTCGGCCACGGCATAAAGGCCCTCCCAATTCGGGGCGAGTTTGCCAAAATGAGTTTCAAATCCTGTTAGGCCAGCTTTTCTGAGAACAAGGTCTCCTACTTTGAATGTTCGAGGGCGGACCCGTTTATTATAGAAGTTGACTAGTTTCTGCTTGTATACAAGAGTTCGAAGCCGAGCTTCTTCTCTGACTTCAACAAGCAGATCAAGGTTTTCCCGAAGCAGTTGTCCATTTCGTCCTTCATCAAAATGGGTGACCCGGAAGCTTGGAACTCCTATTTCAACAGGAATGACTGCTTCGGTACCAAAGGCCAAGTGGTAGGGTGTTTCACCTATTTCAGTTAGGTATAAGTTTAGAATGCACTTTATGCATTATGTATATTTGCTCTAAGGTAAAGCGTAACAGAAGAAGTAAAATAATATAGAAATTAATCAAATAGACTTGGTTTAAAGTGGTACCTGTGGCAGTTCGGCTTGTGGTTCTGTATGCCCAAAGGACATTGTTGAGCTCGTCTGCCCAGTTAGCCTTATGCTATTCCAATCTCGGCCTTATACCTTCCAAAATGTATTTGTTAACAGATTCAACCATACCATTGGACTCCGGATGATAAACGGAGGTGAATTGTAACTTGATCCCATAACTGGAACAGAAATCTCGGAATGAGGAGCAATTGAATTGAGTTCAATTATCGGCCACAATTTGATTCGGGATCCCATATCTACAGATAATCAAGCTGAAAACAAAATCTTCGACCTTTTTGGAAGTAAGACTAGATAAAGGCCGAGCTTCAACCCACTTTGTAAAATAATCCACACCAAAAACCAGATGGGTTACACCACCTACCCCTTTCATGAACAGGCCTAAAAGATCCAGTCCCCACTGAGCAAATGGCCATGGTGCTACCAAGTTCGTGAGCTCCTCTGCTGGTTAATGAGTCAGATGTGCAAAGAATTGACATTTCGGGCATTTCTAAACAAAGTAAGTGGCATTTTTATGCATGTTTGGCCAGTAATATCCTTGCCTTAAGACTTTGTGAGCCAGAGTCCTAGCAACGACATGACTTCCATAGACACCTTCGTGCACCTCTCGAAGTGCATATTCAGCTTCATAGGGATTCAAACACCATAGAAGAGGAAGTGAGAAAGATCTCTTATATAGGACCCCATCAACGAGTGTATATCGAGATGCTTTCTTTCTCAACTTCATTGCCTCTTGCCTATCCTCAAGTGCTATCCCATCTCGCAAAAAGGAGATGATTGAATCAGTCCAGCTTGGCACGTCAGGGTTTGTGCTAATCTCCATTACCCGAGGCTTCATGAAGCTTGGTTCATCTAGGACCTCGACAAAAACAGATCTGGAACTTAAAGAGCTATCAGAGGCAAACTTAGAGAGTGAATCTGCCTGTTCATTCTCAGTTCGGGGGATTTTGCTTAAACAGAATTTTTGGAATTTTCATTTCAGCTCGGCCACCAAGGCTGCATATTTCACCATCACAGGATCAACAACTTCGCAGATTGAGTTGATTTGGTTTACTACCAATTGGGAGTCACTGTATACTTGAATTACACTGATTTTTAACTCTAATGCTAGCTGTAGGCCAAGTAGCAAAGCTTCATATTCAGCCATGTTATTTGTCGCATCAAAGTTGAATTTCAAAGCATGTTCGCTTCGATAACCCTCTGGGCCAATCAAGAGAGCACCCGCTCCTGAACCTTTGCTGCTAGATGCCCCGTCAACATATAAGGTCCAGTCGTTGGGCTCTAGATTAGAGGTTGAAGGACATGGTGCACATTCGACAATGAAATCTGCTAGTGCTTGAGCTTGGATTGCCGATCTCTGCTGAAACGTTAGTTCGAACTCCCCAGTTCCACTACCCACTTAATTAATCTTCCAGAGCATTCTGGTTTTTGCAGAATCTACCGGAGAGGTTGATCTGTGAGAACGATAATTGGGTGTGACTAGAAATATGGCCTCAACTTTCTGGCCAAAGTGACAACTGCTAATGCTGCTTTCTCAGCTATGGGATACCTCAGCTCTGCCCCGTGCAGTACACTGCTGATATAGTAGATTGGTTTCTGCTGCTTGGTTTTTTCTCTTACCAAAACCGAACTAATGGCTTCATCTGAAATTCCCAGATACAAATAAAGAATTTCCCCATCGATGGCCTTAGTCAGTAGAGGTGGCGAGCTAAGATAAAACTTCAACTCGTCAAATGCAGTTTGGCACTCCTGACTCCATTCAAATTTCTTCTGTTTTCCTGAGTCATCCTTCTGGGCGGCCGACCTTATAATCTTGAAGAATGGCAGGCACTTATCTGCTGACTTCGATATGAATCGATGAAGAGCTGCCACTCTTCCAGTCAATCTCCGTATATCTTTTACTGATTTCGGTGGTTCTATATCGACAATGGCTCTAATCTTCTCTGGATTGACCTCAATCCCTCTTTGAGACACCATGAAACCTAGAAACTTTCCGAACTCCACTCCGAAGATGCATTTGGCTGGGTTCAACCGCATCCTGTTCTTTCTGAGGTTGTTGAAGGTTTCGTCGAGATCAGCTAGATGGTCTTCTGCTTTCCGGCTCTTTACTACGATGTCATCGACATACACTTCCAGATTCTTGCCAATCTGAGCTCGGAAGACGATGGTCACCATTTTCTGATAAGTAGCACCAGCGTTCTTTAAGCCAAACGGCATCATGACATAGCAATAGATTTCATTGCCAGCATAGAACGAGGTTTTCTCTTCGTCTTCGAGAGCCATCGGCACCTGGTGATACCCAGAATATGCATCCAAGAGGCTTAACCTCTCATTGCTTGAAGCCGCTTCAACTAACTTGTCAATGCTCGGCATCGGATAGCAATCCTTGGGGCAGGCTTGGTTAAGATTTGTGTAATCAATGCACATTCGCCATTTACCGTTTTCCTTCTTCACCAGGACTAGGTTAGCCACCCATTCGCAGTAATCAACTTTCCTGACGAAACCAGCTTATAGAAGTTTCTCTACCTCTTCTTTAATAACCTGAAGCCTCTCCCCCCCCCGAAGAGACGCCGCTTTTGGGCCACTGGTTTCTTCAATGGATTGGTGCTAAGCTTGTGTTGGAATGCTGATTTCGGAATTCCTGGCATATTGGCCGAAGTCCATGCGAATACATCATTATTAGCTCGGAGAAAGGCTATTAACTCTGCTCGTTCCTCTAGGTTCAATCTAGTTCCAATCTGCGTCTTTCGAGTCGGATCTCTGTCATCAATGAGCACCTCTTCAACATCTTCGACCGGAGCAGCTCTGGTTTCATCTTCCGGGCGATTATCGACGATCTCAACACCCATAACTTGCTGATTACCATAAATTGGTTGAGGAATGGCCTCGGGTGTCGGATCTTTGCCCTTCATAGGTTGTGTTATGGAGGTGATATAACAATGTCTAACCACCTCCTAGTTTCCTCGTAGTGTTGATATTCCCATAGGAGTTGGGAACTTCATACAGAGGTGAGACTGGGAAACCACAGCTTAGATTTCAGTCAGTGTGGGTCAGCCAATAACAATGTTGAAAGAGGACGCCATTTTGACTACGAGGAATCGGACTGAAGGAGTCACATAGGTCCTGCCACTCCCAAAAGCCACATGAAGGGTAAGAACTCCTTCTACCAGAACAGGCTGATTGTTGAAGCCATAGATAGGACCATCATATTTCTACAACAATGCTGGATCCAGTCCCAGACTCTCGAAACAGTGGAAGTACATGATGTCTGGTGCACTCCCGATGTCAACAAGGACATGTTGTACTTCACAGTTATTAATCATGACAGAAGTGACCAAAGGATCATTGTGGGGTGTAACAACTGTATCGAGATCAGCAGACATGAAAGTAATGGGTTGATTTTTCCACTCAGCATCGTCAATCTTCCGCTTCTGAGCTCGGTTTTGATGTTTAATCTCTCTGACATACAGCTTTCGCTACTTAGAGCTTAGTCCACCTGCTTCAAGGCCTCCCGTAATCATGTGTATGATTCTGGCTGGGGGTGGGAGCGGAGGTGGGGCTTGCTGATATCCCACACCTTGCCTATTTGGGGGATTGCGGACTCCTGGGGGCTGCGGCATCTGTTCTCTGATAAACCTCGGCTGTTCAGCTCTCTGAACATACTCATTTAGCATTCCCTTCTGAGCTAAACTCTCCAGTTCGGACTTTAAGCTATTGCATTGCTCTGTAGTATGGCCGTGATCTTGATGAAAATCACAATATTTGGTGTGGTCTCGACTAGCAGCAGCAATTTTCATTGGGTTAGGACGCCGTAAATCCATCTTATTCTTGATCTGCATAAAAATTTGTGACCTTGGCAGATTAAAAGGAGTCCAATTAACTGGAGGTTTACCTGCAGATTGTTGTGGGGGTGTTGAGTTCGTCCTTCCTAATCTCGTTGGGGAGGTCAACATCGGACTTCGGTTCTGCGCCATCCTCATCCTTTTCTTGCTCGGATTGTCATCTCTCCAATCTAGGTGCTGGTTCTTAGTGGGAGGTGGGTTTTGCGCCAGGGCGTACTCCTCAGCAGTTATAAATTTTAGAGACCTATCGTTCACCTCTCTAAAGGTGGTGGCAGCATGTTTGATCAAACTGTCTCTAAACCTGTCATGCTTGAGACCGGAGATTACAGCTACAATTCCCACAGCTTGATCAAAGGAACTAACTTCTAAAACTGCATCATTAAACCTGCTCATATAGTTCTTCAGAGATTCTCCATCCCTCTGTTTAACTCGCATCAGCTCAGAAGTAGTTTTCCTAATCAACCTTCTACTGGAAAACTTAGTGGCAAAGGCAGATGCCATTTCTGTATAAGAGCTAATTAACCTCGGAGGTAAGCTGTAATACTAAGTTCGGGCATTACCTCGGAGAGTAGAGGGGAAGATTTTGCACATTAACGCGTCAGAGGCGTTCTGAGCTTGCATGCAAGAGTAGAAATCATGCAAATGATCATCAGGGTCCTTTGTCCCATCATAAGTCTCCAGTTGTGGTATTTTGAAGCCAGCAGGATAGGGTTCCAGTGTAATGTTGGTATTCAGAGGGTGAGGTATGGAGTCAGCAGTATAGTGTGGGGGTGGAGCACCTTGGTGTTCAGCTACTAGCTTTTCCAAGCTATCGAGGCGTCGAGTGACATCATCAGGGATGGGTCGTTGAGCAGGTGCGATGTGGGATTGACCCTGAGATTCACTAATA